CCGGGTCAGACATAATCCCTTGAGAACTCCCCGATTTAAGGTGTGTTTTTACTTAACTGTAACGTTTTATATTTGCAGTACCGCATTATTATTGGCTTTTGTTTAGAGTCAAACAAACTTCCAGAGAATTTGGACTTGGCTTCTGAGGCATTTCGTGTTCCTACAATTCAGTTATCAATTATCTTCACCGTTCACAGAGATTCCGACAACCAGGTGCCATTAAACCAAACCCAAATTTCGTATCCTGGAATTTGAGGTTCGGATAGCTTTGAAAAACAGAAAATTCCAAGTCAGGTTTGGGAAGTTTTCAACCCAATCATACTCCCAGAGGCTATTCATGAGATTAGTGAGACCTGATATGCACAACAAGCTCTCGTAAATCGGTTGTGCTCTGTCCTGTATACTCGAAATCAGAAACGGTTTGATCTACTGCCAGGTGGCTGAGTGGGTAGTGTGCTTTCGCTCTACCTGTGAGGTCCGGGTTGGATCCCCAGTTGGGTCGATGGGTTTGCACTGCTGACGAAACCCAACCAGATCAAAACCACTGTCCAGCGCTTCCTAGATTTTCAGCCAAAGCCTCACTTACACGACGAATTTATCCTTTGCAATAAACCATTGCGCCTAGAATGGCTGACACACACGTGTGCGGGGCTATGTTGCCTTTGCAATAACGTATCTACTTCTTTAATTATTGTATCAGTTTCCTTCTATATGAAAAGACATTCCGGTTTTCCGAGTTGCTACAAAATAGTATTCACCAAATGCGTTACAAGTTTAATTTTATAAAAATTGGAATTCGCCTTTGGTTTCACAAATGGCATGTAGAAAGTAATATATTTTTGTCAATATGAGAACAAAATCTTACCGGTTTTCCTGCCCACGTAATGCAGGGACACTCAGGAGAGAAATTCAGCAAATTCTGCCCTGCTTCAAATGGAACTGTACTGGCGAGTTATATGGTCTCCTGTTGGAAATTAATACACGAATAGCAGAACGATGATCTACTTATTCGATCGTTTCTGTCCTATATTTCCTTTCTATCGACATGGTTATACGATTGGTTAAGTTTATTGAAACCTGATTCGATATTAATATCCTTTGGTATTCAGTTGTTCGTCGAGCTTGGCAATTCTATTGCAAACGTTTCATGACATTGTGAATGCAGTTACTGGGTTACTGTTCACCCAAATTCATACATACCGATTGGTAGGTTAGTAAACTTAAATTATTACAGATCATTGGTTGGAGAAAAGTAAGCGGAACAAGTTTGCTTTGAAGACCGTCCATTCGATTTCCAGTTAATTACCATTAAGGTTTTTCCTAAGCATCATGATCATCATGATCATCATCATCATCATCATCATCGGAATCATCATGATCCGAATCATCATCCGAGTCATCATCATCCAGATCTTCATCATCATCATCATCATCATCGTCATCCTAATCATCTTCCGATTCATCATCATCGTCATCATCCGAATCATCATCATCATTCGAATCATCATCCCAATCATCATCATCATCATTATCATCATCATCACCATCACCATCATCTTCATCATCATCGTCACCATCATCATCATCACCATCATCATCATCATCAACATCATCGTCGTTATCCGAATCATCATCGTCATCATCATCATCCCAATCATAAACATCATCATCCGAATCATCATCATCGTTATCCGATTGGTTTAGTTTATTGAAACCTGATTCGATATTAATATCCTTTGGTATTCAGTTGTTCGTCGAGCTTGGCAATTCTAGTGCAAACGTTTCATGACATTGTGAATGCAGTTACTGGGTTACTGTTCACCCAAATTCATACATACCGATTGGTAGGTTAGTAAACTTAAATTATTACAGATCATTGGTTGGAGAAAAGTAAGCGGAACAAGTTTGCTTTGAAGACCGTCCATTCGATTTCCAGTTAATTACCATTAAGGTTTTTCAATGTCGACTGAAACTTAGTATTTATACTCTTGCTAGCATCTGTTTTCATCATGCCTGGGACAGCAAGCCACGTGCTATTTCAGTTGATCCAGTAACCTGACCCGAGTGGGGCCACGTTTCATCATCAAACGAGCCTTGGTGTATCTGAGCTCTTAATTGCCAACCTCTTGGGATTTACGGTACTGCGTCCGTCGGAACGAGTTATGCAGCTACCGGACAATGTCAATAGGAGGGAGAAAGGGTAAAATGTAGCCACAAAACAAAAAACTGTTTTGGCCATTCATTTTTCTTGCTGTGAGTAAAGTCACATTGGTAGGGACGAGGTAAAAACAAAACAAAGAGAACTGCTTCTAATAATGCAAGTTGAAGACCAAACATTCACCACTTTGGTTGATCAAACTTTCTTAGCTTTTATTGCAAGTTCACAATCAGATGAACCATTACTCCACAATCCGTCAGAGCTCCTTCAGGTTTTGGACCTACGATCAACATCGAACAACCGGATACAAACCTGAAAAGAGAACATCGATAAATTCCCAGGACAACATCAAAGACATCAAAGAGCTCACAGTATCCATTGTACGACGATGAACACTTTTTGAATGAAACCACAGACCAAAATTTCCCGTTCATTACTGTGCTATCGACAGTTTCCTCAACCGGGATTTTTGCCAGTGTGAAGATAGGCAGCATGAGCAGAAATACCAAACGTAATAAATTTCAGTCTTGTAATATAGAGTGAATTTCGCCAGGTACAGTTGAAATGAAGCGTGAGCTGGAAAGCTACTTAGCACTTGAAATCTGTTCCGATCTTTTTGGGTCTCGTCAGCAATCGGAATCCATGGACCCAACTAAGGATGGAATCTGCAACAGCGGGAAATCCACTATCTGATCAAATCAGCTCAAATCCTCGTCTACAAATTATTCAGCTTCGAATTATTTCCAACCCTAGAGGATAGTGCTGAAATGAGTGAAACATAACACCTGCCACGAGCTCGTAAAATCGGTACTGTTATATCGTGCAAACGCAAAATAAAACGGTCTGATAAGCTGTCTGGTGGTCAAGTTAACTGTATTCTTGCGATGCGCGTGTGGAGTCCCGGGTTCAGGTTGTTGATAAGACACAAAACGATCGAAACAGTGGTACACGACTTTTTAGGCACGCGGTGCAGGTCACGTTTGATCGTTTGTAAAAAGGCGAATTTCTCTACAAGTTACTTTTCATGTATTTATATATTGTTATTTCTGCGGCAATAGGATTCCTGATCAACTTGTCATTGCTTTAGAAGTGGATGGAAAATCAAATTGTTTTCGTATTGCTATTGGCTCACAATCATCTTTTGCGACAACTTAGTAAATACTGATCGAAAAACATGCACCCAAATCTGAGGTTAGCAGTTTCCGGTTAGCAGAATGGCCACCTGCAAAAACGATTTGTTTATGGGATAGACTGAGAAAGGTTCAAATACTGTGTTTCGGCAGGTTCGCCGCATTATCGATCATTGAATTTGAATGTGCCTCGTCAGACAATATATTTATCACTGCACCGTATTAGGGAATTTACTCTGTGACTAACCACTCTGTCCGGATCAATTCCAAACTATGCACAACGTTTTTGCTGAATTTGGTTGTCTTGAAGATCTTTTCTAGATATTCTCCGGAATAAGAAGACTTCTTTTGTTCAGCCTGTAACAGGATAACCGAGTATTGTTGAGAATCTCTACAATTGCAGCAATGAGTAGCCGCCAGCCCCTCAATGAACGGAATGAATCATTGATTCATTGAACTTAGCAATGACAATCACCGCTTACATACAATTTGTAATCGTGCCATTATTTAGCATACAAAAGTTTGTCCTTTTTTAAAATCACAAAGAGGAAGGGACCGATTTTCACAGGTAAACCTCAAACGGCTGATAACTCAAAATAATCGTAATTTAACACTTGTTCGGTTCTCACCTAATCATATATACACAACGAAACGCATAACGCGAAATTGTTTTCGCTTGCATATCACCTGATAGCTAGTTTGCTACAAAACGTATCTACACCTGGCCGATGAATTTTGGAACAATATGGGGCTTAGTTGCTCTCCCCCGTATGACTTTGTTGCCGTCGATTATCGAAGAAATATTAGCCTCAATGATTTGCATATGCAAAGCAAATAAAATAAACAATTTTGTCGAAACCTTTCATTGCGCTTATCTTTGATGTCAGCTATACGAGTTTTGTTGGATCTCCTCTGATCGCTGACTTGGAACAAGCTGGGACACTGAACATCGGAACATCGACGTGGTAGATACTGTTGAGCGGACGTTTACTGATAGAATAATCACAGGGATTGACTACTTCAAGATCGTCTAGAATTGGTTGGATTAATATAGTTTGGCCAATTAACAACATTTATTGTGGTCCGCTTACACAACAGTCGTTTGATCAAGGGGCTTAAATGTACACTTCATTCAGGAGATGACTTATAGATTGTCTTGGTCACCGGACTACTGGATGTTGGTTGAGGTCTTGTTCATCAGTCACCAGCCCTCGGTGATATCTGCCAGTATGCCTCGCGGCAACCGCAGATGAACGCGTACATCATGGGTATGACTCAGAACTGACTAGTCAGCCATTTTACATCTTGATTCCTCGAGTCGGTTGGTCGAATCTGGGCACCTGAAAATGTACGGAAGTTGACTCAGTTATTCGGACTCCGAACGAGACATTCTCCTCCCTAATTATTTATTCCTTTTTCCCAATACTAGCCTTCTCCTCTCAGGGCCCACTGTGAAGGAATTCATCAGTCTGCTTAATAACTATGCTGTTGTATCATAAAAATGGACTGAGCATTCATTAGAGTTGTGAGTGAGTTTTGCAATTAAAATGTGCAAAGTGTGGTTAATGTATACCAGCTTTGCATGTTCACCAATTCATCGCATCTTGAAAAGACCGCTGTGGTGTTAGAGATTGAATGATGAAATCCGGACCGTATCAAACGTTTGCCGGACATCGGTTTCCTCTACAGTCCAATTGCATGTCCCCACTTTTATCCCATTGTCACCACACTGTAATATTTGTTTTTCATGATTGCTATATACTCTATTCTTTAGCGCGAGAACTTAAACTTGTCGACTTCAACAGTTTTGCACGTTATCGCTCTCGAAGGTCATTGTTGCCTTGGCGACCTGACGCGTACTGGTATTGAATATCGTTCAGTTCACTTGATGTAATTTCATGTGTTCACGCTAGCCGAATGCCGTGCTTAGTCGTTTTAGCGAGACTGCATTGTAATTAATTCTGTTGTGACTATACCTTTTGCAATTCAAGTTGTCCCAATATCATTTCAAGATGTCCGGGATTGATTTCAAGTGTTGGTATTGGTCAGTTCTCCGAGCTGGAAGTGTAGTTCGCAGATGTTTAGTAACCAACCTAGGCAACATCATCAATGCGACTTCGAGGAAGCGCCAATCCCCAGTGGGGCAGGGCTTATACAGATCTGTTTGACGGTCGTGATTGACTGTTTGTGTCCCTTTAATCCTATTGGTCAATAGTAACTGTTTGCTGCGATTTGATTTGCTGTTCCGTTTTCATGGTAGCCATCCTTTTTCTCATTGGTCGATTGGCTTTTCTAGAGCAACCGCATACCGGTTTTGAACCGGTTCCAAACTGGTTAGAACTGGTTTGGGACCGATTCTAGCTGGGGCATCCTCGGGTTACCAGTGTTTCCTTAGATAGTAATAAATAGGTTCAAGTTCTATGTAGTCGTCCTATGGTAATCCGAACATCATTCCAAGTTTTTCCAGTATCATTGCAAGATGTCTGAGCGTCATTTCAAGCTGTTTCAAGGAGCCTATCGGCCCTCGAAGACCTTGTACGACCTGGTGGTCATCCAGACATCTCTAGGAGGCTTGACAGCTTCGATGATTCAACGAGACAAGTTGAAATGATGCTCAGACATTTTGAAATGATACTCGAACGACTTAAAATGATACCCAAACATCTTGATTTGCAGCTTGAATTGCAAAAGGTATAGATCTCACGCCCATCCGGTTGCGTCAGGTGCATTAAACGGGATGGGAGGAAGAGTGGGAGATGTAAAATACAATACTGAAAACATTCTGCCGGATGAAATTGTGGTAGTAATTTGAATGAATGTTCTTCCCCACATTGTTTATCAATGTTAAAATTGGTTCAGTCAGACTGGTTGTGAGAAACAGCATCAAAAAGATAACAAGAAGAAAGACCGTTTAATTCAAACATATTGGACAACCAATGCTAAAATTTAATGTGTTTCGATTGGTTTTCCTCTCATATAAACTCAATCGATTTAAAGCCATCCACATTCACTCCTCCATTTGTGAATGCTTTTGACTTGCTTAACCCCATCGACTGCTATCATTATCCACAGATTTGTATCAGAATTGTTCAATAGTTCAGAATGACAAAACGCAACGGTTCCTTTTAAGTGAAATCATTTTGTTCATTAGGAAAATAGATGCTTGTATTTAATTTTTTGCCTTGTACACTACGGTTGTGCCTATAGGTAAACAAACACATGAATTTGTCACTCAAGAAGACATAAAAGTGGAAACCACAGTCAAGGGAGGATAAATATTCCTCACCTCAAAGTCCCAGCCGCATATCAGTGGCGACTCTGTCTTTATAAGTGAGTACGTGACCAGAGTGTTGGACAGAGGTGTACAGATTTCTATTGCTTTTCTCTCCAGAATGAGAATACGACGGGAATGGCCGGAGATGAATCAAGACAAGCGGAGAATGTGAGTGGTCAGCGGATATTTTTTGTTAGCATAACTCATATCGGAATCATTGCGAAAATCACATACTGTTCTGATAAGTGAGTTCTTGGGCAGAAGCAAGATCGGACTGATGATGACCGAGCCGCATTGCAGAGTAGGGTAATCGTTTTGTCGAGTAGACTAAGAAAGTGATTGGTTGGAGCAAGATAAAAAATAATTCGGCAAACAAACTGATGTATTATCGAAAGAAATCATTGATTATTTAGCAATGATTGTTGGTACCTTGGAAACATGAGAGTATAGCCCTCCTCTATTATCAATGCTTTTTGAGAAATTTGGAAAACGTAACATTGTAAGGGGTGTTGGCTCCACAGTCGGGCGAGACTTCACTAGACGAAGATTGTGTGGGATAAGTTGAGCGCGGGAGAAACTCGAAGCAGCTTTTTAAAATTGGCATTGGAGACGCGAAGATGGAACAGTTTTGAGTTGACGTCGAATAAAAAGGGAAACTGAAACTGAAATGTAACAGACCGGTGCATTAACAACAACATCATATGCATATTTTATAAGTTCCATATGGGAAAGGACCGACAAAATCATGATGGACGTGGGGAACAACTTGCGAAAATGACAGTAGGCCAGAGATAACGATGAACCGGACGATAAAAGAGAGCCTCTTCTATGTGGAGCAATTGGTTTTGGGTATTTGCATTGTGAAGGAGATCATGAGAAACAGTCGAACAGTAGTGTAAACCACTCAGGATAACACACTTTTGGCAAAAGTCCAAACTGAGGACGTTCAGCCAAGAAGTAAAACTGTCCGGAGAA